TTATTTAAAGCAAAAAATTTTGCTTGGAAAAAACTTTTCAATTTTTTCCTCTACAGGTTCAAATTTTTTCTTTATTTTAATTTTTTTTGGACATCCTGTAGGTGTCAAAAAAACGCAACCACATTACTCCCAACTTTTATTGCAATTTTCAGTTTTTTTTCGAATTTTTTGTTTTGTTTTTGGGTTTTGCGAAATTTTATTTCTTTTTAAATGGCAACCCACCACTAAAAACATTTTTAACAAAAGCTATTATCCAAGTGTTACAACTATTTACATTTAATTCAATTTTTATAAAAAAAATTCAAATTAATTGCCATTTTGACAAAAAATCGCATAACTAAAGAACAAAAATTATTATGTTTACAAACAAATTATTTAAAAAAACCCGCTTGGTTCCGTACTTTTTATTTATCCTGTATATTTTCTTATAATTAACTAATATAAAACAATTTTAATGAGTTGGATCATTTTTTTTAGTTCTATGACCACAAGCAGTTCGACTTTTGGACTTTGAAGAAATCCATTTTGAACACTCTTCTCCAAGCGGTGAAAGCCATAAAGGGCGGTGTGATAGCCATAAAAGGGCAACTGATAAAGGGAAGCGGTTACCTCGTCTCAGCAAAGGGCAAGTTATTAAGTGCCAAAGGGGAAGCTATAACAAACTTAGGCAAGAACATTGCCACTTCGGCTATTCTAAGCCCWACCCATGGTCATTCAGACGGTAATATTTCACATTCTTAAGACACSTAATAATCGACTCTTATCACTTGTGACGCAATACGGAAAACCGCCAATTCGGATAAATCCCGGAACCAAATTGATAATATATCTAGTGTAGTGGCCGGATTTACATAAACCTCCGGATAAGAATCGTAATTACAACGCAAGGAAATTATCGTTCTATTTTAATCATAATTATTTAATGTCGTATATGACGAAATGACCTATTCAAACAAGTAGAACATTTGATTATTGAAAGAAAGTTAATTACTCTATTGTTTATCAGAAACGCATTACCACATTTCTAACATCAATTGCACTTCCACTCATGAGATTAAGCAAATACGGCCAATGGGATAACAACTGTTATCCCATTCAACACTTATTATTGATCGCAGCTCAAATCATAACACTAGATTCTCCTCGGTGGCTAAAACAGGCGTAATAATTGGGTATATAAGACAATTATTGACACTAAGAAATGAAACTATTCAAATTTACAATATTAAAACAATAGTTATTTACATTTCAAGTGCGATAGACATAATTTCACACCGTGAAGTTTTAATATTGAAGCACGAAGCCAAATTGAGTGCTTTAATAAAACTATTAATAAACTTAGTTTATCATAAAGTATAGTTTTTTGCGGTCTCTAAAAGCCTAAAATGTTTGTCATTTTCCTGCACGGCGTGAGGTAATTTTGACAGKTATCAAAAAATATTAACGTTCAAAAACCTCGAAAGTATATAAATTTTGAAAAAATAGATAACACAAAAATAAGTTTTTTCTATTTCGGTGTTAGAATAAGTTTATTCCAGCACCCAAATGACGTCATTTGAGTACTGGAATAGGTCGTTGGCGTTAATTTAATTTTAGTGACAGACTTTCTTCACAATTCATTTTCAAATGTGAAAATGAAAATAATTTTTATTTTTTACAGCCGCCTAAAGCCGCCTAAAAATTATTCCACATAAATGTCACCAACCGTCGCAAAATTCTCTAGAAAAAAGATTAAACTTTTCGTTTTTTAATTTATAAAATGATATAAAGCGACAAAATAGAAAAAATAGTATAAAGCACTTGTTGCAGAAGGTTCTTCAAGCACTCATTTGTTCCTCAACTCACCGCTACGCGGCTCGTTTCAGAAKTTCAAGTTTGTGCTTGAATAGATACCTTCTGCAACTTGTACTGTAATATACTATTTTTTTATTTTGCGTCTTAAAGAAAACTTATTTCGATACCAAAACCGATGCTTTAATGGGCCATTTCAGTACCAATTTGGGTGCTGAAATAGACTAGTGCAATTTGCTTTTTAAATGTTGGTAATGGTGATTTTCARCGGCGTTTTGAGCGATTTCTTTGATTTCAGGTGGTGTGCATGTAATATTTGCAGTATTCATTGTTAATTCATAAAAAATTCTTGAAACTTGAATCGAACTTTCAAACTTTGTGACATTTATTACCAAGCACCACCTTATTAGGGCAAAAGTTCCTAAATTTTGAAAAATTGACTTTTGTCTTAAAAAAGTACGTAAAACGCGCAAAACAGAAAAAAATAACATAAAAAACTTGTTCAATAAGTCATTTGTGGGACTCGTTCTTTATAAAACTCGCGCTTCGCTGCTCGTTTCATAAACCTGAACTCGTTCCACAAAACTTGCCTTACGAAACGCGTTCTACTGGTATGACATTAGTTGTTTTTATTGAACATTTGYTAAACTTTGGGTGTGAAATTGTAATATTTTGTTTGGTTAGACCACGGCCACTACCAYCACAGCGACCCTGAGGAGTATGGATCCCCGTCGGCCCCAGGGCCTCAATACGAGGTTCCCGAACATCACTACCATCACCACTCGCATCATGAAGGTATACAATTTGTTATTCAAATAGTGTAATCCATCATATCTTGGAACAATATGTGTAGGGGAGCATAACTAAGAGCAGTTTCGTCTATTGTGTGTCAGATCTTGATGTTTGTGTGCACAATTTCACTTTGTTAAAGAACGCAGTTTGCAATTCACATTTAATTAAATGTCTTAATAGTTTTGTTATTGTGTGGAGGATGGCATTTTTGTGACGCGGAACGACGAGACAGTTTGTAATTGGGTTTATACATCCAGTAACGAAATTTTACATCAGGGTCAAAAGTGTAGACTTTCTCAGCCTTTCTCGGGTAGACAGAGATGTTGTTCGTTTRGTTAAAAATGAAAGTTACGCCTCTTCCAAATGTGAACATAAATATTCACTTTCGTTTTGTTTAGGAAAAAAATTACCAGCAAAGAAATATATCAATAGGAGGTATTACTAAAAGTAAATTTCTTTTTTTGATAACGCTTATTAGTTTAGACTGAAGAAAGCAGTGTTGTGTACATGCGGCTATTAATTCATATAATGTGACCACAGACCGAAACAATATGGCACACTTGTCATCTTGTACACCTTACGCGAAGGAAATTAATATGTTACAATTTTAGWATCAATAATTAYGTTAAGATAAACCGCGACCTTTCAAGTACACTCTCGACTTTTCCCATATTATGTCGACATAATACGAGGAAATTTCCTTTTTTCATCGAAATGTAGGATGCGGACTTTCACTCTAATCAGTTGCATCAAATTTAAATCAATTTCCAAATTGCAACTAATTAATAAAAACGATCACCTGTTTTAGAAAGGCAACAAATTAAATATAGCCTAATTTGATCAAACATGAAGCACCTATTTCTACTATGTAAAAAATTTAACAAAAAACAAAACAGAATGAACTGAATAATTTGAATAATTCAGTTTGAATAAAATGAAAAAAAGGTATTAGAGAGAGAGAAAATCAGATTTTACTTTTTATGCAACACCTCTTAATTGAACAATAAATATGGTGATTTTAAATAAATAATAGAGAATAATAATACATAAATTATAGACAGGAAGGTGCTAATTAATAATAACTTTGCACTAATTTTTAAAATAAATAGATAATTTGAAATTTGAACTTGTCATTTTATGATGACAAATTAAAATCTCTTTAACAATTAAAAAAATGCTTTTTGAATACCAATTAAAAAGTATGAATGAACTTTTTATGCTACACGTGTGTTTTTACAAATAAGTCGTTTAAGAACAGTACTAGGAGCTCTTCTTTTTTTTTCTTGCGTGATTTATTTTACTTTTAACACACTTGTACTTTAAATTACTATTATCTAACAATACAAATGACAAACGCCGTGTACTTCCTTGTGAAACATAATTCACAGTAATAATAATAGTGCATAATTCTGTAATAAAGAAGTAAAGTAGTTAATAACCGTGTGTACCTACATTATTTCATCATTATTGTTGCAAGAGAAAAACTAAATATAACTTTAAATGAAACTATAAATAAATGAAACTATAAGACTTAGGGCAAAAAGAAAAAAAACTTCAAAATTTGCTTTAAATTATCTATTTCACGGCGCAAACTCGAAGTCGCTTCGGATTATAGTTCCGGGTACAGAGCCATTTTTAGTTGTTTTTTATAAAAAAACAGTCATATTTTTAAAACTATGAGTCGTGGGTCAAAGCAGTTTGTACAGTCGTGTTCTCCGGTTAATTTTACACACAGTGCTAGTTTTTCATAAGAATCAAAAATTTTTGATTTTTGGTCAGAATCGTACATAGTGCTTATGCTTCTAGCCTTATTCTTAACTTTATTATTTAATATCTCAAAAACTATGCATCGTAGAGTATTTTAACTTGCTGCATCGTCTTCAGCGCGTAATTTTAAGTCTAGAAAATCATATTTCAAGTGTTTTTAAGGTAAATTGACTATTTTAACCATTTTACTACTGCTCATCTTCAAAAAATTCGAAATTTCGTAAAGTTGACCCAATAACGTTTTATGCACTTTATTGAGTTTTTAAGACCTCTAGAAATTAAAAAAAAACTATATAAATCAATTTAAAAATTGTTTTTTTTTAAATTTTTGTCGAGATTTTAGTTGATTTTTGGCACCCGGAACGGTCTATTGCCAATAACTTTAGACTTATTAGCGATAACCTCTTATGTTTGGTACCGTCGGAAAAAAATACTTAATAATTATCATATATAAAAAAAACAGTGTTCTACGATAAATAGTTATTGAGAAAATTTCTGATAAAGTCAAAAGTATCAAAAATATAAATTCGACTATAACTTCAAAACTATTACGAATTTTGTAGTTTTCTTGCCGCCAATCGATTCCCCTGAACATTTTACATATGTTATCAGAAAACATTGTAAAATGAGAAAAATTCTTCACTCATCGCATGCTTTTAAACTTTATATTCAAAACTCAATAGTAGGTACTGAAATAAATTAGTTTAAGTTCGACGTGTTATGTTAATAAATTTTGAGAATATTAGAACCATTAAAACAACTAAATATTTTTGTAGCTCATTTTTTATGTGAAATTACAAAAATGTACTTATTTGATTTTGTTTGGACCATATTTTCGATTTCAGTAAAAACCTTCTACTCAAAAAGACGGGAAAAAATAAATTAAACAAAATCTCAAACAACAAAAAATTGGCATTGTTGTATGTTTCAAGAACTGCATCAAATTTTTGTTGTATTTACGATAACCATTAATAATTAATAATTATGCTAAACCCCAGAGCACTTTAACTTACCTAGAAATAACATTTCAGTTATAAAAATTACTGTTTTTGTGCTCAATAATAAATTGTTTCTAAAGTATGTATAAATAAGTTTGTCCTCTACTTTTAACACCAATGTCAAATATGGAAAAGTCAATTAAATGACAATATTAACAATAATTAAATAAAAATGAGTATCTAGCGTAGTTTAGATTGCTTTTTCAAAGTTTAAAAGCCATTATAACGTCATATTGATCACATAAAATAAAAATAATTGTATTACAAAATTGAAATCAGAAAAATCGGTTTAAGAATGTGCCCACTTATAGTTCGCCCATCGTCGACGCTTTTTAATGACTTGACTTTGACTTTTAAGACAAACCGGACGCCGACCACGCTGGTATCTTAATCCTGAAGAAGATCCCAAAGCACGAACACGAACATTCCGACCATCTACCCGTCGAACACAAAATACCTGAATTCAAACCAATCGGCCATTCGGGACCTGGTCTTGGAGAAATCATCGGGAAATTCTTCTCCGCTTCCACTTCCCTAAAACCGGGAGAACCCGCTCCTTTCGGTGATCATTACGATCATGATCATCATCACGAACATTATCATTCTGATCACGWACACGATCACCACCACCATGACGAGCATTACCACCCCGATCACTCTAGTCACTCATCCCATACAGAGTATCACCACGAAACTCACCCTTCTAGTCACGACGACGAGCACCACTCTGATGCTGGTGATCAACCTTCCAGCCATTACGGGAGCCCCTTCGAAGAAGCTCCCGCTTACCTAAACATAGAGGAGTATGCTTCTGAGTCTAAAAAACAAGCGCAGACTGTTACACAAGCCCCGACTGCTGAACCACAAAAATTACAAGTCTCCCAACAACCACAAACTCCTATTAAATATGACGAAATTAGGCCACTACCAACAGCTTTTGCCAATACTGACCCTCAGGGTGTTAAATATGACGAAGTTAGGCCTTTATCCGCCTTTTCCAACACTGGAATTGACACCTCTTACCTCCTAAACAATGACAATAAACCAAATTTGTTTGTTGGGTCTTATTCAAATAAACCAAATACGGCTTTTCCCCCATATGGCCAACAAGTCAAGCCAACTGCTGTAGCTGTTGACACTACATCATTGCAGTTTGGTGGTTTTCCCGGTGTTTTCCCAACCAGTGATATCAAGTACTTGGCACCTCCGGGTGTTGGACCACAAGTTTTTCCCAGTGGTGTACAAAGATATCCGCAAAGTGTTAAGTATCAAGGTTTGCTCGATAGTTTTCCATCGCCGTCTCAAAAAACTCCCTTAAAACGGCCCACGCGTAGTAAACACCACCACCACAGCCGTAAAAGACCTGTACTACCCTCTCCTGAGTTTATGAAAGCACTTATGTACAAAGTGGGGCATGACGGACCAAAGAGATTATAGACTGACGAACTGACTGTAYTTGCAGGTAATGAAACGTTGGTTAATGTGGGGACTAATGCTTCGGGAAATCGGCTAACCTGTATTATTTACAAACTAATGTATCACCCTGTACATAGTTAAAAATCCATTATTGTAATCATCTAACTGTTCTTTGTTTTTCAGGTTACTACAACTACTACGAACACTTTGACCCGTATTTCTGACAAAGACGAACCAGGAATTTTTGTAAATATTTCTAACACTGCTATAAATCAATTTAGGTACCTCTGTAGACTTCCCATCTACGTGTCTTCTTATTTATTGTTGTACCTAATGTAAAATGTAAGGCATATTTTGTAAAATGTTAATATTAATAAATAAAATAAAAATAAAATGTCTCATTTATTTAACGGTTAAATTATGGGATGAGACAATTCTACCAGGAATTCTAATGATTACAAATTACATTTTCGCTACACTTCTGAGGATGTCGAAATAAATCAAATTCAACTTCGTGTCTTTGTTAAAATAAAACTTAACACTGCGAGTATTTTACTTTGAAACTTTAAACTGTTTAAAAAAAATCAGTTTTAAAATAATTGAAAAATAAGCATTTATTTAATAAAAATTCGAAGAAAATTAAAAGTCTTGAGAATTCACTGCCAATTTACAATGACAAAAGTTAATTCGAGTTGAAATTTCCGACACCTTTATGGATAATACGGCTGTGTGTCATCAACATTCCCTAAATTGAAAAAAATTTTTTTTTCTTTTTCTCAAGATTTTTTCAGAAAAAATGACAAATTAGTAACTCTATTGAAAACAATTTATTTTCAAAGACATTKTCACCAAAATTAAGAGCATAAAATACACTAGGCTAACGAGTTAGCTTGTTAAAGACGCAAAATGGAAAATATACATCAGAGTAAGTTAATTATTGTGGTCTGAAATTTTCTTAGATGCAACAAAAAATACTAATTAATTGTACTTACCACTGACCGAGTTTGAATTATAGTTCTTTTGGAATTGCAGATAAGTTGATGAGTCCATGTTACGTGTTACATACAACATTTTTTTTTATTAAAGCTCCCAAAAACGCTCAAATCTCTTATTTTATTACATACAGTAAGCGGCAAAATTATGGAATAATTTTATTAAAAAAAATATGAAAATATTTTGTTTTGGCAAAAATGCTCAACATTTTCTTTTTAAAAAACATACAATTTTCAACTTGATTTAAATTGTACACTTTTTGGTTTTTGAGTAATAACGTCATCGCCATTTTTTTTTTTGAAAACCCGTAATTTTTTAAACCAATTCGTTAGATCTTTTAATTGTCAAAATGAAAACACCAAAATATTAAATATTACATAAAGTTTTCGAAAAAATATAACAAAAAGTGAAATAATAAAAAAACAATTTCAAATCAAGTTGAGAATTTTGTATTTTTTAAAAAGAAAATTGTCCTGTTCGAGCATTTTTGTCAAAACCATTCTAATAAAAAAGATTATTCCATAATTTTGCAGCTCACTGTATAAGATTAATGTGATGAGAGCAAATATTTCTCAAAAACTTTTTTAGACACAATTTTTTTTAACATTTTTGCAAAATAGACAGAATCCAGAAAATATTACTGAAAACGCGAAGAAAAAAGTGTTGTATTTTAGATTTATTTCTAGTGAAGTCAGAACAAATGAAGAGGAATACAAGGTGACCAAAAAGTAGAGAACCAAGTGATTTTTTAATCATTTGCCTTGAGAGTGCTTTAAAAAATGTGATCGTGTTTTGAGAATGCAATATTGTTTTATTTTGAGTTTTACGATTTTTTTGATAATAACAACTTATGACAATTTTTTTCTATAAAAATTGGATAAAATATAGATAGTTGTAACCCTTAGATTATAGACTTCGTAAAAAAGGTTTAAAAAAAATAAAAACAAATAAAAATTTTGCAAAATATAAAGACATTTCAAAAAATTTATTTTTAAAAAACGATCACAATTTCATCGTACTAATTATTTTTCTCGTGAAGTAGTGACTGTTATGCTGTTGTGAACCTCAAACAGTATAACTAGTTGTATAACTTAACACCGCTTTGATGTTATCCTTGGTGAAAGTATAAATATTCCAATGGCCTTGAACTCCTTTCATGTTTATATTTTATTTGCTTTCAGGATATAGTACGTGCAGCTGYTGAGAAAACAACACCACTGTTGCCTGAGCAAGTAAGTAAATAAAYCAAAAAACAATTTTATGCAAAATTTATTTTATTAATCTACTGACACACATACAACTAGATTAATGAACAAATCATAATAAAAAAATTAAAAAACACACCGGAACTAAACGGAAACAAACACTAAAAAACACAACAATAATAATCGTTTTCCTGAAAAAGTAAAAAATGTTTCAGGTCAAAATGCCGATAACACTTTATTCCGTTTCCGATGGACCTCCATCGCTGGCAGTAAGACAATGTTTGAAAGTGTTAAACGTCGAATTTAATCTTGTAAATGTTGATTTTGGATTAGGAGAACACATGACTGAAGAATACGCAAAGGTAGAAACTAGGATAATAAAAAATTGGCTCAAGTTTTATTTTTAGAAAAATCCACAAAAAGAGATTCCAGTGCTAGACGACAATGGGTTTTACCTTGGAGAAAGGTAATTTATTTTAAAAAATCCAACAGGTGACCTTGGGTTAAGAAGCGACAAATATATAAATAATTAACAATTATTCATTTATAAAGAGAATAAATGAGATAATACTACATGTGTTCAGGCGTGGGAGCCCCCCACAAACCAGAGATCACATGTTCGAATAATTAAAAAGTTAAATTCAGTCTCATTTTGATTAAAAATTTAATTTTTTCTTTTATTTAAACGCAGCAATGCCATTCTTCAGTATTTGGCCGACAAATACGCAAAGGACGATAAACTTTACCCTAAAGATTTACAAACTAGAGCCATCGTGAATCACCGCTTGTGTTTCAACCTTTCCACTTACTACCGTTACATTTCCGAGTATGTGGTATGTGATCAAATCTTGAGAATTTTTCCCTTTAATTGATCAATTTTTAACAGATGGCCCCAATATTTTTCGATTACGCCCGCACTCCCCTAACTCTGAAAAAGGTCCACATMGCTTTGGACAAYTTCAACACGTATTTGCAGCGACTTGGCACGAAATATGCAGCTGCAGGTGACACAATTCGGTATGAAATGAGCCATTAAGCCGTGTAATACCACTGTTTAGATCACATAACCATCGCTGATTTCCAATTGGTGACAGCAACGATGTGCCTGGAAGCCATCAACTTTGATTTCTCTTCATACCCTCTGGTYACGAAGTGGTATACCACTTACAAGAAGGAATACCCGGAATTGTGGGCCATTGTGGAAGGGGGAATGAAGGAAATAAGCGCGTTTGAGAAAAATCCCCCGGATTTGAGTCACATGAACMATCCGATTCATCCAATCAGAAGACATTAATTCTTGTTACCTGGTTTTGTATTCTCTTTGAATAAAAATAAACATTGCATCACGTTTACTTTGCGAGATAATCAATATCTAACTAAACAACTCACAAGTTGTTATCACGAAAGATAAGAATATTGCACAACATTTTATTTCCCAAATGAGTTAGATGTGGTGAAAATGTCGTTAGTTAAAGTGTCGGTTGAAGATTTAGACACTAATTCGAAGTTATTGTATGAGATTGATAAGAGTAAGTCGCTGGAGGAAAACATAAGTAATATTTGCATAAGTTTCGAAAAAGTAGGTACCCCTTTCAAAATTTTCTCAACATGATAAAATTTGATATTTTAGCCATATTCGCCTGTCGTTTATGGGCTAAAACTTATAGCCACAAATGACGGAAAAAATATTTATTCCTACATATCCGAAGATAATTTCGAAACGATCAAAGACGGTTATTTTTTAAAACTAGTTTATTCTGTAAATTACTACGTCAAAAGAATTTTTGACCACATCAATGATGAGTACAAAGAAAGAAGTTTTATTGACCTTCATGACCTAAGTGTGGATGCTGAATTTATCAAAGAGATGGGTAAGTACTTAGCACCTAGAAATAAAATCAACACAATTAAAAAACTTTTAGTTAAACTTGAAAAACATTTAGTTTTGATTGACATTTTCACAAAGCATGAACTAAAAAAAAAGGAAGCAAACAACTGTTTAACTAATAAAAATGAAGCAGAGGCATGTGAAGAAAAAGAAAGTGAAACAAAGAAGCCATGTTTATATAAAAGAGAAGAAAAGAATAACAAATATTTAACCGAAAGTGAAGCAACGGCATGTTTAATTGCAATCGTCCATTTATTTCAAAGACAATCCATTGATGACATTAGCGATGAATTTTTAAATAAAATAGTTGAAATAAGTAAAAAAGGTAAAAGCAACGAATTAGTTAAATATGCCTTGTCTGTAATACACAAAATCTTGTGTAATCGTGATGTTAAATTTGCAAAATGGAAAGAAGAGGTAAAAAAACAGTAATTATTAGTTTAGTTGCCTATTTATGATTTTAGACCATTAAACGGGTACAAATTATTGATATAATGAGCCACATTAAAAAACAAGATTCGGATTTACAATATGGTTCATTACTCGTTATTAATGCTTTAATTAGATGTTGCAAGGGTGAAAAACGGCAACAACTCGTTAAGGAAATAAATATGAAACAATATCGGGAAAGAATTTACCAACACGTAATAACGCCTGGCAATGTTTCGAAAAATGTGGCACGAGAGTTGTACATTTATCAAACATATCTATTAAGGTAAGACTAATTTAAAATCTCTGAAATTTTCAAATCTGTACTTGTACAGGGTGCGCTAGAACTTGCGCCCCAGAGAAAAATTTCAAGTAAGATAAGATACCAGGAACATGGAAAAAATGTTTAAAAAATTCTATCTGTCAAAAAATGTTGACATTTATTTTTTGACATTTGAAAATTTTTTGTTTATTTAATGATATTGATGATCTTGTATATGTTTTTACAATTATTTAGTAAAGGTACAAAAATTTTATCAATAAAAGCTACAAATAACATTGAACAGTTTAGGATACAGTTTCCTGGTTTCCTCTTCTAATAGCCTGTAGCAAAAAACTTGGAAAATTATGTTTCCAATAGAAATAAATAAAGTCAAAGTGCAAAATTTAAACTCTCATAACTTCGAAATTCTTACCATATATGGCATATTTTTTGGGGTGCGACTTCTGGCGCAGCCTGTATACATACTTACCTACGCAAAGTACAATATATCTTGTTTGTTAACATTGATAATGTGATTAATTTGTGTATGTGCACAAGATTAGTCGATAAATTATAATTATTGAGATACTTATTTAGAATTTGAATCACACAAAAACAGTGTTTGCAAAGCTGAAAACCGATGTGTTTGCTCATTTTGAGCAATATTTTTTTTTATTGAATTAATAATTTATAAAAACAATTTTGTTTAAGTTGAAATAATTTTCCTTAAATCTCTTTTAAAATCGATATTTTAAATGTTTGTTAATTTTTCTCCTTGCCTGTTGTTTTTATCAAGTTTCCTTGTTTGCGTTTTCCTGTTTCTGAACCAATCAAATTTTTATCAGTTTTATTTATGTGTAAAACCAATGCACTTCCTGCGTGAATATTATTCTTATGTCTTACATTTTACTAAAATAAATATTTTAATTATGATTCAATCTGGGTAATTAAATATCGTTTCAATTATTTTTTTTATAAACTTATATTGAACAGGTGTAAAATTATTACAACATAAATTATGTACATTTTTTTGTAATTCGAACCGACATTTAACATTGTGCGTAACTGGAAATGAATTATCGACGATTTTTTTCATTCGATAAGTGGCATTGTGACCAACATTAACAACAAAAAACACACTACCCTGTTAACGCAACCAAACGTTGAAAAATAGAAAAAAGAAGTTTTTAATTTTTAGTATTTTTTCAGACTTTTTGTCTGTATATTATTTGTCTTAATTTTTAGTTTTGTATTAATTATTGTAAACAGCGTAATTTATTATTATTATTGATTTAAAAACAGGGGTATTTAACTTTTATGACGTATTTCGTCGAAACAAATTTAGTACCCGCAGCAACTCACAGATATCGCATGAACGTTAGTCGCGTTTCGAANNTAATTATTGTAAACAGCGTAATTTATTATTATTATTGATTTAAAAACAAAACAAATGTTTTTTTTCAATGCTACGCCACTGGAGTAGTGGACAGCTCACTCGCAAATTCCTACATTATCGACCGCTTTATGACTTCCATTGAAATTGACGTTTTGTCGATTCGAAGTTCGAACAAAAATTTTCAATTAGTGTTGGTGGTGTAATCACAAAAATAATCAACGGTAAAACCCTAAAGTTCATTATCAAGTTGATTTAAAAATGTAAGTAACAAAGATAGACCATATCTGTCAGTCATTTTTTACCACTTCTTTGACCAATCTTGTAGTGTTTCCCCCGTCCAGCAAGGTTGTACTCACGTGAGTCCAATTATTACAGTTGAAGACTCGTGAGTTACACCTCCCTGATAACAAATTCACAATTATTCACCACAAACCAATCCTTGAAGTCAGGTCATAGTTTTGCAGGTAAATTACCCCATTTTATAAATATTATTTAAGTAACAATTTTTCCCACAGTGGGTGTGACTATGAGGGCTATATTGGGCTACACCTTCGTAGGGACTTCATCGCTAGTCATAACAATCTTAACCCTTTACCATGTCTTGACTGGTAAGGGCGAACGAGTCAGTGTGGGGTGGTTCCTCGAAAGAACCTCCCCATACATGTGGTCCACAATAGGCATCGGGTTATCAGTCGCCTTATCAGTAGTTGGGGCTGCAGCTGGTATTCACACTACAGGCGTCAGTATTATCGGCGGTGGAGTGAAAGCCCCCCGCATCAAAACAAAAAATTTAATCTCAGTTATCTTCTGCGAAGCTGTCGCTATTTATGGTCTCATCACTGCTATAGTTTTGTCGGGTTATTTGGAAGAATTCACTTGGTCAAAAGCCATGGACAATCCTGATATCAAAGCCAGAAATTGGCTTGCTGGGTATTTGATGTTCGGAGCTGGAGTTGCTGTCGGATTAGTGAATTTATTCTGCGGCATTGCTGTCGGAATTGTTGGCTCTGGAGCAGCTTTAGCTGACGCCGCAAATGCAGCTTTGTTCGTTAAAATTTTGATTGTGGAAATTTTTGGCAGYGCTATAGGGCTGTTTGGGCTCATTGTGGGCATTTACATGGTTTCTAAAGTATCAATGGGCGATAAGTCATCCTAAATTTATTTTAAGAATAATTACTGATGTATTGTTATTGAATGTAAATTTAATTTACCTTGTATATATATGTACAATTATTTTATTTAAGTAGAAATTAGACTTAAAATGGGCTTAGTAATGTTACCTTATGTGAATCTGAAGAAATTAAAAATATAACTGTTTTTCCCATCAAGGTGTATGTTTGGTTGCCTAACATTAAATCGTTAATTTTTTTCTTATAAAACAAAARATGAAAATTTTCAGCGCTTATGCCGAGACTCTTACCACTCCCATAGCCGCAGACCCTGATCTTTTAAGTGAGTTCGAACCTGTTGACAGTGAAGTAAAAAAAATGACCATTTTGATGGATTTTGATGAAATTGCCACGAAAAAAAGTGCTTCAGTGGACAATTTGCTCCAGTGTGACGATGTTAGGTAATGTCGGAAATAGTCCTTAAATCTGCACACAGCCTTGTTAATTTTTAGAATATCGTTAGCTTCTATTTCGTCTAAATTAAGCGAAGATTCGAGATTCTCGCACCGAGTCCAAAGCTACGCGAYAAATTATAGCGAAAGTGACACTCTGCTACCAAGTCTTCTAACAATTGAGGCTCTTAGTATGTAGGTTTGGGTAAAAACGCAATAATTTTTTGTTAGGACATTACAGGCATTACCATTACAAAAACTTCAGTCAAAGTCAAGTCGAAGAGCATGTGTATGAGCCCGGGGTTTTGGCGTCAAGTGAAAGGTGCGACTCGTTTCATTTGTAATGTAAAATTAATTCAATGTTTTAGGGTTGTGAGGATGTTGGCGAAAATCCTCCGTATTGGAATGGAACCTGACAGGAGTAATTCTTGCTACCAGCCCACCATTTTTACACATTCGACTTTCTTTTTTGAGCTTTTTTCAAGAACTATGTGGCTGCTTTCAAAGACAAGACGGGAAATGAAAGCCTCCACATTGTCCGACTATGAAAAAGTTCGTAACGAAAGGTGTGCATTATTAATGATTAACACATTTTCTAGGTCATTCGTGTGTTATCCAAACAAGTCAGACTTGTCCTAGAAGCAAAACCAATGGATTTCAAAAAAATGACTGAGACAATGGTTGAAACCTCATATAATACAGTCGTTGAAATATGGCAGGTATTTAAAATAAACTATTAATTCTTTGGGAAAAAAATACATTTCTAGAAAGAAAAAGAAGAGGAATTGAGAAACGTACTGGACACCAATGAGTGTATTCAAGGCCTGAAAAAAACTTTCAATAAAGAAAACGAAGAAAATATCTACCAGCAACGTATCAACTATGTAAAAAACGGCACAATTTTTCCAAAAATTGTCGACAAAGTTCGTGTAATATCCCTTCTAGATTCTAGAAGTCACAGTTATGTTTTTAGAAAATCAATGGAAATTTTTACGCTAAGCTCTCCAACAACGAAAGACATTTACTTATCAATGATTATAATGCTTCTACAAAGACTTCAGGTCAAGTTATTGCATACTCTCTAGGCGACGTTACGCATTTAGTTGAAGGGAAGGCGTGTCCACATGTTGCCAACAACACGTGAGTTCAGAAATTTCACCCAAATAAATTTTTAAATTAAATTTTAGCGTTAAAGATCCTTCTCTTGCTTTCTCCTTAATAATTAACAACGAAACTTATATAAATTTCAAAGCAGCGGACAGAAAATCAGCCAGTTACTGGACTGACGCACTTAATTTACTACTGGGTAAAAAATCTGTTTTCATAAAATGTATCTAAAGTTTGTCTAATAGGAAAAAACAATCGGAGTTTGTACTACAATAATGAGATGAACGAACTGACTAAAATGGATCTAGTGCTTCACCTACTGGACCTCCAAGGGGCCACAATACCCAAAAGGCCCCCTCCCGTCCCACGCAATCCGTTCGAAGTGAGGCCCCCTATACCCCCAAAGCCGCAATTATACCCCGRCAAAAATGCACCTAAATAAACTTAWTTTTTATTGTCACTTACACAAAATAAATTATCTGTGCCTATTTTTGATGTGATTATTTAATGACCCCGATTGCGAAAACTTATTACCACAATACTCACATGAGTACGGTTTTTGTCCAGTATGAGTCAAAATATGGCTTTTTAAAATCCGCGCTTCTACAAATTTTTTCATGCAAATATGGCAATGATACTTCCGCTCATTGTTGTGATTTTTCATATGAACCTGAAACGAAAAAATAATACCGAAACGTGCCAATCACCAATTACCCTCAAGTGACTCGCCGCGATGTACTTYTTGGGGCAAARAGTGCAAGCATAGGGGCGTTCCCCCGTGTGGTAACGCACGTGTGTATCTCTAGTTTCTTTCTGTCTGAAGGATTTGCCACACTGCCAACAATGGTACGGTCTTTCCCCGGTGTGTTTCAAGTTGTGTTTTTTCAACTGAGTGCTCGCTACAAAGTAAACATTGTCTCTCTGGTTGGCACACCTGATTGTAATTACTTGCAAAAGAACAGTTGCATCGTGCACACTTGTAGGGTTTTTCCCCGGTGTGGGTCCGCATGTGAATATCACGGTTGGCACTAGTGACGCAAGCTTTCCCGCACAGGTTACAAATGTACGGTTTTTCCCCTGTAAAAATCGCAAAGTTAAAAATCAAATTTCGGGGTTTTTACCGGTATGAGTCCGCAAATGCGCTGTTAAGTTCGACGATTGGTTGAATTTTTTCCCGCAAATGTTACAACCGTATTTCTTTTCTGTGCAATGAATATTTCGGTGTTTGTATAAGGAACTTGGTAGGGCGAAAGTTCGCCCACAAACTTCACAATTTAGRGGTCTTTCACCMGTGTGTGATCTCATGTGCATTACAAGTAGTTTGTTTTGTTTGTAACTTTTGTTACAAATTGTGCAGAYGTGCTTTCGCTCATCATTCAAATCATCAATCGTCGTAAAATGAATTTCTTTCAAGTGTTTTTTTAGGAATTTCTGGTCATTAAATGTCCTATCGCAAATCTAGAACAATGAATTAATTGTTAGGTTTAAATGTGAGAGCCCTCATACATTGCACATAAAACTGTTGTTACATAACTTTTTCTCTTCTGAATTATTTTTATCGAGTGAATGTTCCATAATGTGTTTTTCTAAGAAAGCAGGTGTCGTGCACCCTTTTCCACAAATGGAACAGAAATATTTATTCTGGCCTGTGTGGATTTTGATGTGCTCTCCAAGAGTCCATTCATCTRGAAACCAATAAGTGACTCAATTRAARTAAGAKRAGTAAAACACCTTTAAAAATRTCTTCACAAAATTGACACCTATACAAATTGGATAAATCAAAAGTGCTACAGTTCGTTTCTTGTGAGTTACTCTGGCAAGACATTATTTGAGTGTCAGTTTCCCACGTCTCTGGCAAACACTGTTCTGCTATAGTTTGCAGACTTTGCATCGTTTCAGCTAAATCAGATACGACTGAAACACAGAATTAGCACTCCCAAACTACTTGYTTCGATTCAATACCAGTACTAGCGTTCTGACTCGTGAAATTATCAACCAATGAATGCGAAGTAGCATCGTTAAAAATGTCTTGGAAAATAGAAGATTGCTGTAACACCTCGCTACTGCTAAATAACTGATCAGCTTTCATATCACTGATCATGATATTCGACTGGGCTTGTAAAGAAACAGTTTGCAAACCGACACTGTTTATGTATTGTCTCAACGAAGCGTCCGATTTYTCGCACTGTTGTTTGAAACTGTAAGCTCTGTTTACCATTTGCAAGCATTGCGTGCAAATCTGACAGGGGAGGCCGTCGCCCTCAATTACCTTCATAAAATGTGATAAGAAAATTGTTTAAATGGTGAAAAAAATACCTGAATTGAAGCACAAGACATTAACATGTTGGCCACACAAGCTCCAAATAGCGGCTTAAGACTGGCTTTTTCGAGCAAACAGGTGCGACAAATTTTATCTAATTTCATTTTTTGTTAATTTAAAAAAAAACTGTTCTTATTCACTTGTAGATTCAGGTTATGTTTGATGTTGACAATTCATAAAAGTAGTTCGCCATCTCAAAAAATAAAATTCACCAGATCCGAGTTAAAAAGTTGCCAAATTTAAACCTATTTAAATCGAAAGAGTTAGGTAAAAATGCAAATTAAAGCAATTGAATATAAACTTAACAAAAAAAGATGTATTGAGAAAAGCAGCAGTTTTTGAGTCCAAAAAAAAACGCAAATTGATTTTTTTTATAATGTAATTTGGCCTGTTRATAAATGCCAGTTTTTTGACGTTATCTTTGTCACAATTCACAATTTCATAATTGTCAGGCATCTTCCAAACTTTTCCATTTCGTTTTTAACACTGACTATGAGTACTATGACACTACACTGGCAAGACCAGAAAAAAAGACATTTCTTTTGATAGTTTTCTAACCTTTTTAAGAACAACCTTTTTCACACTATGTTAATCTCTGAAAAATGTTATAATTTTGTTGTTTTTGACAATTTGCGTTTTTTTACACTTGGGTATATTTAGTGATTTGAGATTCGGTATTTACGGTTTTTAGCTTAAARTCTGCGTAAACACTCTAAAAAGACAAAAATGACATCACTTTTGGTCTAATTCTGTGATTTTTCGCCTTGTTTTAACAAAATTTTGCAAATAACGTGCAAATGAATTGTTTTTATCTCAAAAACACTTAAAGAAAGAAAAAATAATATCATTTTGTCCTATTTCCTTAAAATTCTTAGCTTGTTTTTAATAAAATTTTAATCAATTTGGTGGTTTTTAGATTTTTTTTGAGAAAATTTTTTTCAGAAAATGTCAATATTTTGTCCCATTTTTTTGTCTGCTATAATACGAATTCGTTTTTACTTATAACACAATTCATACCTTTAAGTGTTTTGAAAAAAAATGTAATTTGTGTTATTGTGGCCCCGCTACTATTTTCAAAAATTGGCAATATTTAATTAAAAAAAGATAAAATAAAGTGTTTGATTTTTATTACTTTTCTGAATGTTACAAGAGCATTAAGTACAAATTCGACTTGCAATCACTTTCATAAATTACACCAAATAAAACGTAGAAAATCTATAAGTATAGATAAAAAAATATATACACACTTTGGTCAACATTTTTTCTTAATAATTACATTTGTCACCATTAATTTTTCCTACCTTTATCACAAGACTACAATGGACGGCTTAAAATTGATTATTGCCGTAAAACACAGCGATTCCAAAACGAAAACACTGTTTAAAATAATACTATTAATAAAAAATTAAGTCATTAATAAAAAGGTTAAGTACTATGTTACATTACTGTTGCGTAAAAACCGAACAAATGAGTATCTACAATAAATACTAAACCTACTTGATTCGAATGCCATCAAAAAATTAACAAAACAATAAAAAACAATTAAATGAGCCTCTCCTCAGGCGGCGGTTTCAAAACATGATCCAACTCAACTCTTGGATTACAAAACTCCTGAGCACTAGGACTGTACGTCCCCCTCGTCGCTCTCTTACTTCTCGCCACGTTAACCAACACTGCCAATCCTATCGCAATCCCAACACTCAAAATCAAAACAATCGGGATTATAATATACAAAATGTTGATTTGGTCCATCTGACTCGCTGCTATTTTATAATCACTGCAATTCTTCCCACTGTAATCCTCCTTGCATTTACAAATATAATCGGCTTTGTCGGTACACGCAGGAGTACAATCCCCATGAACRCAAGGCTGGGAATCACAGGGATTATCCAAGAGACACGAATGCCCACATTTCGACTTATCATCGCAGACGCAAGAATAACCCCCATCAAAATTCTCGCATTTTCCACCCACACCACACGGTTCWGGGATTTGGATACAYTCGTTGATGTCGTTTTCGCATAGTAACCCACCCCAACCTGTCCCATTACAATCACACTCATATTTATTTATTTGGTCGTTACAAATGCCCCCATGTTGGCACGGATTTCCAGTCGGGATATCACAGTCGTCGATGTTTATCTCACAGAATTTACCCTCAAAACCTCGGACTGTGCAATTACAAAACGGCACTTCCGTTTCAGTGACACAAGTACCGTTATTTATACAGGGTTGTTGGAAACAAAAGGGAGTGTCACAAAGGGGCCCCTCCATCCCTGGTGTACAAATACAAGTAAAATTATTTCCGGTGACTTCATCTAGAAAAAAATAAAATAAAAATGAGTCAATCAATGGGTGATTTCAATTTACTAGTGCCGGTTTTGCAAGTGGCGCCCTCTTTGCACGGTTTATTATCACAAGTGATAAGTATCGGTGCTTCGCATTGTTTTCCAGCGAAGCCTTCGGGACAATCGCACTTGAAAGTCCCGATTGCGTCATTACAGGTGCCCCCATGTCGGCACGGATTACTCGCACATTCATCAATGTCGGTTTCACAACTGAAATGTCAAAATTAAGACAAGTGTTGTAAATTTTTACATTTTAYGTACTGTTCGCCCTCAAAGCCAGGTTCACACTTGCACTCATATTCGGCGATAAGATCAATGCAAGTGGCGTTATTTTGACACTCGTTTTTCTCACATTCATTGATGTCTATTGAACAATCGTCGGCTGTAAAACCGGCCGGACAATTGCATTTGTAATATTCGAGAGGGTTTGCACACACTCCTTGATTGTAACAGTCGGTGGGGTGRCAGAGAATGCAACCTATTTGGGGGCGATTTTCGGAATAAAGTTCAAAATAATGATATTTTTGGAACAGTTCACTCGATGGGAAAAACGGTAGTAAAATACCACCGATTCGAATCTCGTTAATACACCCCTGAAAGAAAAAAATCAAAAACCGGTCGTAACCTTGTCATACCAACCTTAAAAAGATCAGTGGATTTGTTTTGGTCGACTTTAAACAACGAAACGTCAGAAAAGTAGTCATTCTCCTCGACTGAATTACTTGTAGTTGATGGTGTTGTAGTGGTATCACTGTAGGGGATATATCCAGTCATGTTAACATTAGAACTATTAATGATATTTTGATAGTCAAGTGTGACACCATCACTACCCGCGACGTAAATTTCACCAAAAGTTAAGATATTTGTAAAACCGTCAATATCAAAGTTGGCAACTTTCATATTTGGGGCCTCATCCATAACCATGTCTTTGAAACCGCCTTTCAAAATAGAATTTTTATACTCGAAATAGATGGTCAACCATTGACCTTCGAAATAATCCTTCCTGAACCGTTTACTATCCCCGATTTTGTTAATAGACCATTCCACGACAACCTCATTATGATAAATAAATATGGCAAAGAAGTCATCCTCATGTTTTGCGAAAAAAATCGTCCCCCATGACCTCGTCCGATACGTCAATTCTAAAGTATCATAAGTCACAATTTTGGTCGAGTTAGGCCAAGTCATTAGATGATATTTCAACGGTGGTGTTTTTCCATCAAAAGTCGCATTAGCGACACATTCAGATCCGTCTTCGAGATTTTTACAAACCGATTCTTTGGGACACCTCTCAATTTCACAAAATTCCAAATCCGAGCAATCTTTYCCTTTAAAACCWCGKGTACAAATACACCGGTAATCATTCCAAGTGTTTTCACAAACACCGTTATGTAAACACGGATTTGTTCGACAGGAATTATCAGATCGGACTCCTTCAAGTACTGAAGTTTCGTCAAATCGAACCTCACCGAAAGATTTCGGRATGTCYAATTCTTTAACGTTAAGKGGGAAAAATTCGACAATCATAACCGATGAYCCATTACTGATTTGCACGTCTTGGATGATTCCTTTGAAGTGGACGTTGCTTAACGGAGTGGCTATTACTGCTGATGATGTTGGTGAAATTGTATCGATTTTGACTAAATTGTCGTTGGCTTGGCGAACCGGACGGGTTTGAGGGGGGCCCCCTAAAAAGAGGACTTGAGCGTCGAGGGTACCCGTCGCGGAAATTGTCTTCCGAAAATATTCAGTTCCGTTTAGTTTTACTTGCACCAGAGTGACGTTCCTGATGACCTAAAATAATAATAAATAAAAATATGTACAAGAATTTTTTGTTAATAAAGTTTCTTTTAAAAAAATGGATTGCAGAATTACTTTGCTTAGTTGATCGCCCCAAAAGCTTTTATAAACATTAAAAACTGAAGCTGTAAGCAAAAATGTTTTTCTCTGATAGAAAAAAAAATTTTTTTCCTCAATCCTCTATGTTAAAATTGAATTTTATCTACTCTCTTCTTCATGTTAAAATGAAAATTTATCGTCTAGATGATAAAAAAATACATCCATTGTTGTATATCTGCGGTTGTTAGTTGCTAACGATCTTTGACATTTCATTGTTGAATTTTACTTTGACATTTATAAATATCGGCCAAATTGACTACAAAATTAGTGAGGATTGAATAAAATTTTATATTGTACACGACGATAAAATTTTCATTATCTTTTCGAACAATTTAGCGTTGAGGCCTCAGCCAATTTTATCGTCTTGTATAACAAATAACTATTTTACCTTTAAGTAATTTGTTTTGAAATAAAAGCTGATTTTTAGAAAATATTTTTTATATTTATTTTTCCACTTTTTAGACTTCCTTTATTTATTGTTTTGCAAAATACTTTAAATTTCAAACACAAAGAAAATTTTTATTTATTGAATAAAATTGAATCTGTGTCAAATAGTGATGTTAAAATTTCAGCCCGTTATATCTTCGTTCCTGTTGGAAATAGGAGGTTGGTTTTGCCCTTACAGACCCCAATAACCTAAAGAGATTTTTMTGTTTTATCGAATGGAGTTGSTTCTATCTTCGTATTTCATTTAGGGACCGAGATATTATTAATTGTTTATAACAACTGTTAATTGTTAATTGTAAATTATTAATTAAAGTAATATTTATTTATTC